TGTTTATATACCAGCACGCGTGTACACAAATAGGGAGTTCAAAAGTACACACACCTACATTTTCCTCTAAAAAAACTGAAGTAAACAGTAGGCTGCGCAGTCAATTTGTAGGGGTCTGAACAGTGTGTGAACTCGGATCACTACAATCATCAGGCCAAATCCCAGGTGGAAAGATAAAAAGGCAGAAGTCACCAGAAAGAGTGATTTATTGTGTACAGAACTCTCAATTGCTGTCGCAGGTGGCAGTGGCCACTGGCGAAGCCAGGGCTAGTGTTGATTGCGCCCAGCCAGACCTGAAGAGAGCTTGAGACAGTGGTGACAGTTGCTTCAGTAGGATTGCGGAGCAGGTTCAGTTGTTGTTATTGGTGTGCTGCAATCGCCCAAGGGAATGTCGCCTGTAAAGACCTTTGCTACATCGGCCGAGGGGTAGTATTCAAATGGCACTTAGGCAGGGGTGCTTATTTGGACGAGCGTGTATGCGTGACTGAATAAGCTGAGGTCAACTGTGGGGACCGCCGGAACGTGGAAGGACAGGGGACGCTGACGCAACTGTTATCGGTCAACCAGAAGCAGCTGCGAGGTCAAGCCTCGGGAGAAAGGAGCACCAGTGAAAGAAAGCATTGGAACATTTGTTTGTGACGACGAATAACTTTGGGGCAGCGCGCATTGAAGAACGAAGGGAGGACAGGCATTGTGGCCGTCCACCACAAATTGACTCAAGTGTTACTAAACCCAGGACTTCCAGTGGGAGGGTGGCGGGGGGTCTCACAGCTCAGTGGGTTAGAGCTTTGACTGCACGAAAGCTCCCCCCCTTTGCTGGCGTGGGTTCGAACCCCACGGGGCCACTGAGTTTTTCACAACTGTGTCAAATGAATTACTGGCCATTGACAGCCTTGGAAAATTGATAGCAAACTTATTCATGGAGCACCAAGGGGTCACTGGCGGCTGATTGACCCAATGGACAATTATACCGCCACGGTGTCCAGCTGGTACGAAGCTTAATCGAAAATAGCAGGAGCTATCTGACAGCACCGGGAGCCGCCAGATTTTTGCTCTGAAAACAGTTATTTTAATCACCAACCCCTGCCCTGTCCTCTATTTTATCTGCGTCCTAGAAACAGCGACATCATCAGCAGCACACGCACGATCCATAAAGCACGAACTACAACCTACTGTAATACGGTAGGTGCAGGCTGATACCGAGCCAGTCAGCAGCGCCCGATCCCACTTTCAGTATGCTTAGCTCTGTCTTGACATCAGACTCAGACGAGTGAAGGAAGGAAGAGAGTTCAGCAAATGCAGCGCAAGTCTAAAATTCAGGCGTCACCAGGCGCCAACAAAACCGACAGTTTTAGCGTCGCTCTCGACGATATCCACCACGAGCTTCAACAGGCTGAAGCAACGCGGAGACTTCCGCTGGGGTGACAGTGAAAGTAGGATTGCGGAGAACCTACCTCACTCTCTCACTACTCTCACACCTGAACCCGACGTCAAGACAGAAGTCGAGAAGACCGGAGATGGGGGGAGGGCGCAGGCGGCTGGCGCGACCAACACGCGTGCCAACAGTGCACCCCGTTAGGTAGGCTCCCATCTTGGATCGCCATAAAGGCCACAGTAAGCGACTTCACACAACAAGACACACAGTTGGCAACCCTTCAAGCACCGCAATAGTTTCCAGC